GCGGGGGCGCCCTGGGACCCAGTTCCCGCAGGCTGACAGGGGCCCAGCTGCGCTTCCGACAGTCTTGGGAAACTGCTTTTCCAGCTCTGTACCCGCCGGGAGAGCTTAGGGGCCCCCACCCCAGCCGGGGCGGGTCTTGGGGTTCGCCGGATCCTTTTCCTTTCTTTAAAAGCACACGGAAGAGCCTGCAGTTTTACCGGGAAGGTGTCGCTTAAGTTCAGCAACAGTGCGTAAAACAGCTTTCTCTGACCCTGTTTGTAGGAGCGTGATCTAATTTAAAACTAACCAAACAAAAGCACTTTCTAGAAGGTCAGTTTGGAAATGTGGATCAAAATTCGAATGCATTAGCTTTGGCCCAGGAATTCCACGTCTTCGAATTTGTCCTAAGTAAACAAATATGCAAATATGTATGTACAAAGATGTTTATTGTAGCTGTTTATGCCAGGGAAGATGGGAAACCTGTTCCACAGTAAGAGATTGGTGAAGTAAACTAGTAATTTCAAATAGTCGGATATGCTGTTAAAAATTATGTCTGTACATCCGATTTGTTGATATGGAAGGAAGGCCATTGCCGAATATTAAGTTGAGGGTGAGGGAAGCTTAGAAAAGTGTATGCATAGGATAAACCTTTTCTTGTAAATATATGTGTATGTATATGTATTACATATGTGTGTATATGTAATACATATGTATATGTATTTTATATCAAGTCAGGGAAATATAATTTTAAAAACTGATTCTGAGTTCTGCAAATTGTGTTAGCGAATTGTGTTCCAGGTGTGACAGGTGTGTTTTGGTATACCTTAAACCCAAAACATCCATGCCTGAGAGTTCTGTGCCTGGCCAGGGACAGCTAGCAACTTTGCCCCAAGTGTCCCTCTCTGCTGTGGCAACAACCCAATCAGACATTCCCTTTCATAGGCTGGTTTCCTTTTCTCCTTTGACCAAACCACACCTTTTCCAACAAAAGAATATTAAACAAGCAATTCTAGCAGTAAGTTTCATTACCGACCGCAAATTATGCCCATGTGCTCAAATGTTGTTACTTCCAAACCCACCAGTTCTGCAACTTAGAACTTTTTCAATATTCATTTAAAAAATTTTAGAGTATGTAAAACATATAGAAAAGTAGAGAATATGGTGAATACTTATTCGTGTAAAAAAAGTAGAGACTACTATGACAGTGCTTAGATTTAACAAATTATTATTTTTTGCTTTAAAAGAAAAAAAGTTACAGATATGTTTGAAAACCTGTCTCTTTCATTCTCCATTGTACTTGGAGATAACCATTGTCCTGAGGTGGTTGTGTGTTCTTCCCACCCATATTTCTATATTTTATTGTACATATCCTCCTCCATAAATACTATATATTGTTTTTCAATGTTTTAAAATTATGTAAATAGCATCCTAGACATTTGCTTACTCAACTTTATGTTTTTGATAACCATTCATGTTCATACAGGCAGTTCTAGTACAGTCATTTCAAAATCTTTATAGAATTTCATTGTTTGACTGTATCATAATTTATTCATCTCCCAGTCAATAAACATTTAGTGTGTTTCATGTTTCACTACTACATATAGTGCTGCAATGGCCATCTTCGTATATGTTTTCTTGTATCCCAGGCTAGAAATGGAATAGCCAGGTCACTTTCACTAGATATTCTGAAATTGTCCTCCAGGCATTCATTCAACAAAACTTTTTTTGAGCATGTATTATGCACCTAGAACTGCTCTAGTTGCCAGGAATATAATAAGGAGCAAAGCAAAGTCCTGCCCTCAAAGAACTTACATTCCATGGAAAGGGAGAAAGATACTAATTAGATAATGTATCAGATGGTGGAATAAAGCAGATTATAGAGTCCACAGGATCTAGAAAATAAGTAGGAGCAACTGTGGTTATTAGTGGAAGCCTTGGGTGTTCCATGTCAGAGAGATAAGGAAGTCCTAGAAGGAGACTTCAACAAAACTTCCCCAGAAGGAGACTGGGAAGAAAGGGCAGCAATTTAGCAGAAAAACTGGGAGGGATGCGTGTGGGAGTGGAGTTCAGCTAAGGTGAGAATCGAGAATTGAGAACTGCCCCTTGGATTTGGCAATGTGGAGGTCATTGGTAACTTTGACAAGAGTGGTGGAGAAGGAAGCCTGATTGGAGTGGGTCTGAGAGAATGGGAGGAAAATAATTGGAGACAGTGAGTAAAACAAGTCTTTCAAGGAGTTCTTGCATAAAGAAGAACAAAGAGGTAGAGGTGGGTTCAAAGGAAGGGATTTATTTATTTTTTTTAATGTGGGAGAAATTTCAGTGTTTTATGCCAATTGGAATCATGAATTAGAGGAGAAAAAAGGTGATGAAGTAGAGCGGTAAATTGCAAGAGCGATTTCCTTGAGCACACAAGCAGGAACAGGATTCAGTGCTCAGTGGGGAGGGACTGCCTTTTGATTCACAAAGTTCATTTGGGAGAACAAAAGAGAGTACAGGTAGAACAGGTGCAGGTAGGCTAGTAGAGTTTTGTGGGGAGGATGTGGCTAAGATCATTCACACCCTTGTATTCCCAATTACTATGTACAAATACAAAAGTTGGACAGTGAAAAAGGCTGATAAGAAAAAAAAAAAGGAATTCATTTGAAATATGGTGTTGGAGGAAAGCATTAAAGATACCCTGAGCTGCCATAGAGATGAAAAAGTGGGTCCTAGAGAAGATTAAGCCTGAAACATCACTGGAGGCAAAAATGACAAAACTGAAGCTATCCTACCTCAGGCACATCTTATTTCCCAAACGATAATGCTGGGGAAAATAGAAGGCAGGAGGAAAAGAGGAAGACCAAATGTGAGATGGACTGACTCCATAAAAGAAGCCATAGGCAGGAGTCTCCAGGAGCTGAGCAGGGTTGTAGAAGGATGACCAGGAGTTGCAGATGGAAACGCTGCTCTTTGCAGCTATTTTCTTTGCAGCTGAGAGTGAGAAAGAGAAGGTGTTGGAATCGTAAGAGAGAGGAAGCAGTATAAGATAAGAGAGTGGTAAAGTGAATGGGCTAGGGAAGGGGAGCAGAAAAGGTAGTAGCATTGCTCCTCCCTCTTCATGACTGGTTGGGACTTAGCCATGAATTTCAAGTGAGGCAGTCATCATGGGAGTGTATTTTCTCCAACTACATTCAGCTGCTCAGGCTCAGTGTAGTACAATGGCAAGTTGGATTTAACCTGGATTAAAGTAGCTGTGGCTGAACGCAGAGAGATGATTAAAAGGATGGATCATAACTTTTCAGTCCAGTGCAGTGGGGCTAGGAAATTGTTGGCATCAAAGG